CACTCCAGACCCCCCCCCTCCCTAGGGTACGGCCGGCCTTGGGGCGTGGCTCCATCGTGCCTACCTACTTTCGTATAATCAAATGCTCGACCTACCTGGCTTTTCTCTCATCTGTTCAATTGAACAACGCTCCTTACCACTATTCCATACAAATAGTGTTGAAAATAGCAAGTATGATGCTTTTGGCAAAGAAGTTGTCCATCTGAACTGTTGGCCACCCTAATGCGAGCATACGGAGAAAAGACATTGAGCGTACAAAACAGGAACAGGTGGTGAAGATAAAGCTCGTGAAATTAAATGTAAGGGTGGAAGTTGATCTCCGTGGGAGAGGCCTGATCTTCGTAGGAGACCTGTCGCGGCTACTACTTCGAGTGGCAAAGGTGCTACATCTGTGTAACTGCGGTCCGGGCTACTTTTCGCAGATTAGCGATCCTACACGCCGGCAGTCGCGGACAGTGTCTTAAAATGTTCTAAAATACTTGTTGTGAAGGAGAAAAGGGTCAGTGAAACTATCTTGTAATGTACTGCTTATAACGACTTGTTGAACTTTAACGATGTCCTTTCACCAAGGTGACCGCTTTGAAAACTCCTTGTCACACAAAAGGACACATCTGCTATTACGTCACACATCCAGACAGTGACAACCGCATCGTTCTGACTGGAGATACGCTATTCATAGCCGGTTGTGGGAAGTTCTTCGAAGGTGAGCATTGATTCTTTCTCCTTTAAATACAGGCAGCGATTCTGGTTAGAGGCTGAGCCTGCATTCAAATTTGATGAGTTATGCGGCTCAAATACTTATAACAAGGTAGCAAGTAACCCCTTAGTGAAGAAAAATCAGAAAGAAATAGGAAAGGCTCTATATAGAACCCCTTGCTTAATTGAGGTTGTACGTGCTCAAGGCGAAGAGAAGGAGCGGTTGCACGAGTTCTCACTTGTTGATATCAGCTGTTTTCCCTTATCACCTCACTCTCACCACTCGACGTGGAGAGAAGCAGCAGCGAAACAACCGCACCATCAGATAACCATTAGGAATGAGTGGAGGGCGGTGCCAATGATTGTAGGTTGGGCCAATGAGAAGAACGACGGCATCGTGGGCCTCCTCACTCGTTTTTGCGCCGCGAAAGTGGTGTAGTTGTTGCCTCTGCGGACCTGACTACCTGCTCACGAAGGGAGAGGAAAATCTCAACTGAACGTGGACGCTGCCTTCAACGACCATGGAAAGCCTTCAACTGTTGATCTCATTTATGACGACACAAGAGGATAAATGGAAATGATCGCTTCCACACGATTTCGGAGATCAAGATCCGCGCAAAACAGCCAAGCCTTTCATCGTTTCGAGATAGGATAAATAGTTTAAAGTCCGTCCGGCTATAAGAGTCGCTAATTTGTACATTGCCTGACCTCTGCAATTCATTGTATATCCACAATAAGCTTGGAAATGCCACCACAGCAAAATAATGTCGGATGCATGGCGCATTCCAAAACGGGATTGAACATTAAAAACTACAACGGCAACGTCATTCATCCTTCTTAAAAAAATTTGGAACCTGACAGAAAGCTGATGGTGAGAAAGTTTGCTCAGTTTAGTGTGAGCGTGATTTTACTCGACTGACACTCCCGCGCGTCTTACGTTTTGTGGAGCACATTGGAACATAGTGAGTCATTCAAGCACCACACTCACACAATCCACTCCTAACTTTCATGAAGTCCTGAAAGCCCTCAACATGGTCAATCCCTCTTTGGAATGTGCCACGCATGAATGCGATTTGACTTTCACTGTACCGAGGGGAGGGCGCGTCCTGTCGCTGTTGCGAATTTCTGTAAAACACGATCACTCCCTCTATCCTTCTA